GGACAATGCAGTTCCCGGAGACACGCGAAAGAAGAGAGAAGGGAGAAATAAAGGAATCAGAAATTTCGTTAAAACAAACGCCCTGTCCACATGCGTAACTTGCTTTGCAGGCAAAAAATACCCCCACGAATCATGAGCTTCACGATTATCATGTCTGCATCACGACATCCCCATCCACTTCGTACTCGGCGTCAATCTCTGCATCCGCATCTGCGTCTGCGTCTGAATCTGCATCGGTGCCATTGGTATTGGCCACGGCCTTTTGGTCCTCACCTTTACTCGGTGACTTGGAAGCAGATCCTGGCTCGGCGGGAATTACAACGTGAACTTTCTCGACCAAGGTCTTCCGGTTGACTGATCGCGGTGTTTTGGTGTTATCGTTAGATCGACGGGAGACTGCTGTTCCAGGTGATCGCGAGATGGAGTTGGTCTTTTTCTCGGGGGTCCTGGGTGCTGCTGCCTTCTTGTCCTCGGACGACTCAGGTTCGGCAGCATCAATGCCATTGGTCTTGACAGGTTCCTTGACGGCAACATCTCCATTGACACGCTCTGGTTCTTTTTCGCTCGCGTCTGCAGCTTCTTTGGGTGCGGGGGCCGTGTTTTCCACATCCTCATCAGCGACAGCTTCTTCATCGACAATTTCGCTTTGCTTCTGTTCAGGACCGTTGGCCTGGCTAAGTGTTACTTCAGCTGCGGGAGAGTCGGTGAGAATAGAGCTTCTGCCGCGACGAATACTACCTCCAGGGGTGACCATTGCCAGCGCGGAGGGTCGTCGAGGTGTGTTGCGACCATTGCTCCGGGGAGCCGTTGGTGTCATTGACATGTTATTGAGTTTGGTGCTACCAGATGGGCGACCAGGTCTGCGTTTGGGGGGTGCTGCGGGAGGCACAGGAGGCCAAAGTTCAAACCTGGAGGGTGGAATTCCAGCGGCAGGGTTGGGGATTGCAGGTGGTTCAGATTTTCCTGCTGTAGAATGGTGGAGGCCACTAGGCCGCAGAGCCAATGTAGAAGGCGGTCCAGCAGAGTCTGCAAGAGTGTCTCGATCCGACCCATTCACCATTCGAACATTGCCGTCATAGTCGATCGCTCTTGCCTCAGTCTCATCCTCGTCTTCATCCGGGTCCTCTCGGGGGGCGACGGTATGTATGGGAGCACGGTCGAAATGAGACTGGTTGCTACGACCCATGATGTAAGGTGTCCAGAGCAGCGCATCTGGATTGAGCTGAACGTAGCCCTTGCTTTCCCAGCCACTGATGACCTCGTTGTAATATTTGTGATCGAGACGAATAGCGTACGTCTTGGTGATTGGATCCCGCACAAGAGCTCGAAGTCCTTCTAGAGCAGACACAATGTCATCTGCCGTCATTCCGGTGCGATCAGACAGGTCTGCAATGCTAACAGGCGTCTTCAAATCACGAAGTTGGTATGACAAGATCAATCGCCAGTAGTTCCGGTACGACACCAGACCCATATCAGAGAGCGGCTTCTCGGGCGATCCATTTTTGCCTTCGATGCGGGTAAGGAGGTATGAGAAGTCGATGAGAAGGTTTCCGTAGCCTTTGCGTTGATGGATGGGTAGAGTAAGAATGCAGGAAACGTTGTTCGCTGAGCTTGGACGTTTTTCTTTGCTGAAATAGCCAACAAAATGGCAGCCCAGATCGTCATACTCAGTCATAACATAGAATAAGAATGGCTCAACGTCGTAGTAAAGAGTCTTGGAGCCGAGGAAAAGTTTCGCGAGAAGGCAAAGGTTTTGACAGTACACTGGATTCTTGCGTCCATCGACTTCGAAGATTGATATCGATCGATCTCGATAGATCTCGTCACCGGGGGGATGCTTCGCAGGACACTTAAGTTTGTGGCGCCACGCGACGAAGTCCGAGTTCATGTACTTGAGACAGAACTCGCAAATATACAGAACACGGTTGCGGCTGTATTCCTCCGGGTAAGGCGCTGCATACCAGGTTTCGATCTCGTAGCCACCGAAGTTGATAGATTTGATCTTTGAAGGAGGACCAGAAACCTTTTGTGATGCATGCGGAGTGGCTTCGCCATTGAGTTCTGCTTCCTTCACTTTCAGTTGCCACTCATCTTCGGCCTTCAGACGTGCCTGTTCGAATCGGTCGCGATCGAATTGTGTGGGAAGGGTCCTGGATGTATCTTGTTCGATTTCGGACAGAATGCCTCCATAGGGTTTTGATTTAGCGTCGTCGGTCTCACGGTCGAACAAAGTCATGGAGTTGTAGGATATGGGGGGAAGTGGAACAAAATGTGCCTGGGGTTCGGGAGCCACAGGTGGAGGCTTTGGTGCTTTCTTCTTCTTGCGTTGCGGTCGGATTTGAGAGCCTGTTATTTTAGACATTTTTGTCTCGTCCAACCGGAACCCAATAATCAATTTCCCAAACTGCCTAGCTACCACGCGGCAGTGCTCTCGGTCCACTGCGCGAGTGCGTCGCACGCGTACAGAACGTGTCCGAGCAGGAGAGTGGACATCACCATCAGCAGTGCCATCCCCGCCCTCCAAGGCCGCATCATTCAAAATCGGGTGATCGGAGCGGAAAGATGTTTGTCGAAGTCTTTTGCGGAGTACAGGTGTGTGTTCTTCGGCCTCGATTGACGAGGCCTTTCGCTTGCGCAGTGATCGCGAGCTATTGAGCATCTCGTCATCGACGCCTGTGTTAAAGATAGAATGGAATCCCTCGTCATGTGTACCAGCGTGCGCAGGAAGAAGCTCTTTGGGAAGTGCTAAGGCTCCGATTCCGGGTTCTGTAGCTGAATTTGTTATCGTGTCGGGCTCTAGGTTGTTGTGAACACAGCTAGGACACCTCCATGGGTCTAGGTGTTGCGATGTTAGTGCGGGTAATATATCAAAAAGATGATGAGACACAAGTCAATGACCACGTGGTTGCGTACCGTCCGATTCATCATATGCTTCTTGTTCGCGAGCGCATTGCCGATGAGCTGTCAGGATGTCGAGTCAGCGATAGTCCGACACAATCGGGGTAAAGCAGACGAAGCGACACTTACAGTGATCACCACACACCACACAAGTGAGCCATTCCTCAAAATCTTCACTTGGATCGTGTTCCTCGTCTTGGCTGCAAACCCTATTTGCCTGTTGTTAGTATCTAAACGTCCTAGTTCTGCGCCTAGTGCTGCATCGAGCCCTTCCACTTACAAGCAGTTTGAGCCACTGCGGATATCGGTTTCGACATCCTCACCACCATTGCTCTCAGCTTCCCAGTCCTCGGCTTCTGACTCGTGGTCACTTGATTCGGGTTCTGATGCGTTACGGTCATTTGCCTCAAACCCGGGATCGGCATCCGCGTCGGCTGTCTCAGACTCCGCATAGTCTTCTTCAGAACCAGCGTCGTCGTCAGGTAGCTTGACAGCTCCAACAGGTTCAGCCTCGTCATTGTCGTCATCGTCTTCTCCGTTCAACCCATTGATGCTCGAGTTGTTTCCATCCGCAGCTTCCTCCGGCCCATCATCATCAACTTCTCCAGTGTACGCTCGGTGAACGGCATCTTGAAGTTGTTGATCCATTTCATACAAGTCGGTTTCTTCTTCACCCTCCGCATCTAGGTCGCTGTCGGCCGGGTCCTCAGGTGGGTCGAGTTTGCCCGGTTCATCGTTTGCTGGCGGCACCGTCGCCGCCATAGTGAAAGTTACCGCCACCGCCAGGTTGAGCACAGCAGTGCTTATTGTATGCGCTCAGGCGGACTGAGGTATCCTTTTGTGAAAGAAGCTTAAACCGATCCGGTTACAGAAGCACCCCGCTGACGTCGGCGCTGATCCGGGGGTGCATCTGGATCAAAAGCGGGTTCGAGACTGGTTGGAATAGTGCCGAAGATTCTTATGAACACAAGTATCGTTCGGGATTGACGTTCAAAGTCTCCAGGCGCAAAGTTCAAGCTAAACAAACAAGAGGTGTCAGTCCGCCGCTGGAGTGGCTAGGCATCGCAAGCGCGTCGCAAAACAGAGGAAACTCACCCCAAGAGAAACCAGTGCAATCTTTGATTTAAAAGCGTACCAGACGCGTCGAAGGACAGTCCGTACAGAAAGGCCTGTCTCTTTTACAATCGAATGCGATCTGCAACGGCCTTCACGCCCCTTGTCCTGTGAGTGTCGTTGCAGCGCGCTGAGTCAGCGCAAGCTAAACCACTTTGGGTGGAGGAGACCTCAAGCCCGTCGCTGTAGGAAGAGACACTCCCCTCCACACTCTCCGCGATCTATCCACTCTCCTCAGTCCGTGAGAGGCTTTACGGCTCCTGATTCTACTTTAACACATCTTCCCGATCATCTACATACCCATACAACCGCACGTCATGGGTGTCCCCTTTGAGGCCCTGCTTCCCTATGGGATTATCATGACCGTACGTCCCATTGGCCAATGCCTTCTAGGACTACAGCTCACCAATTGCTACAGATGTTTGGCGTGACTGGCTACGGTCTTCACTATGTCAAGCGCTTTGCCAACGATGGCAAGAAGGCACGCTGGAACCAGGATCTGTGGGATAGAGTAAGTTGATCCATCCTTGTCGGCTGCGGTCGGAACTTGCATAAAGCAATTGGCTAACAATTTCACAGCAAAGTGAGTGATTACCAGCTTATCGCCCGACCAAAAAGCGCCTGGGAGGGATTATATGAGACTAACCGCAACCAACAATAGTGATGGAGAGAGATCAGCGCATCACAGGCTCATTCCGCGGGCAGTCCAGCAACCACAAAGCGCCCACCGGATTCGAAGTCAGCAACCCATGGAAGGTACGAATAACAGATTTCCTGTCCCTTGGATTCCCGGCTCCGCACAGAAACGCTAACCCTTGGAATAGATCGAGAATCGGATCTACTAGTTTCAAAAATTGCAACCTCTTTTCCTTTACGTTCAATGTCTGCGCCTTCCTTACTACGTGACCATACATATCCACTGCAATTTCTCTAGAAACGTTGTACCATATCATTTATTTGGATTTCCTTAGTAGTCCGCTCGGTCATGTCTACTTGAGCTCCGAGATCATTCCTCGAATCCCTTGGATCTCGCTCTCACGGAGGTGCATATCGAAATACTTGGCCAGGGCCTTAACGCGGTCCTCTTCAGTCTCCAGCACCTGCAAGGTCTCCGTTTTCCCTCGCAATCTCTCCTTGACTTCTTTACCTGACATAACGCACTGGCCAATGATCTCTGTGCCACTTTGATCCAAAATCATTCGCATGCAGACAAAAACTTGGGTGAACCAGCTAGTTCGGCTCTGGCTGACGGAGAAGTTCATAACGCCGAAATCCTGCGGCAAGAACTCCACGTCGGAAAAGCAGATCTGTGGCAACCACTTGCTCTCAGGGTTGTATCTTGTTTGGTAGATCCAAATCTTTTGACTTGGATCTGTGAACTCGGCAATGCTTTCCCTGACTATGCGCATCTCCGATGGAGCAATAGCCGTAGCAGTAGCACCTTCTTGAAGTAATAGTGGAGCAGTGGCACAACTGTTTCCAAACCCGACATCAACCTGTATTGGTTAGTGTGGTTCATGCAGTAGCCGCAGTAGATATTCATGCCGTACCATGTACTTCTCTCCTCCAATGATCACAATTAAAACCATGTGCCCACTTCGCCGGGTCAATCGTGTCAGCTCAGCTCGAATGCGCAGAATTCTCGGAATGCTAGACAGTCGGAGAACTCACAGTGACAAATATAATCCATTGTCCAATCCCTTCACCGCAGCATGACTGACTCTACCTCCAGTGGCGTAAACAAGATACCCCAGGGACCGCAAAACAATATAGAAGATTCCCGTATTCTCCATGCAGTACCCATCTAGCTGCCGCTCCACCATCTTCTCAAAGAGACTCTGCGGGTTCAGAGAGATAGTATGATGTTGCGAGTAATGCAGCCCTGAGTTGCCCCATGGAATGGCCGCGAGATGTCGCCTTTGCAGATTACATAGCGCAGAAAGTGCATCATTCTCGATATTCTGGCGGAGATGCTGAAGAAGATTGCTCTCGGATTGAGCGGAGTGGGAGTACCCGATGCGGTTCAGGTACAACTCCAGTTGTTGATCGGTATACGTGGGTTTTTGTGCCATTGTTGGACCGTTCCTTGATGTTTTGGTTTCTGCGCTCGAGGAATATATATAACATGAATTCTCTATCTCCACGGCTATCAAGATTGATCGGAATTATTCCATTTCGTCCAGTTGATGACCAATATTAACTTGGCTCCCCACCTGGGTACACTCCCGAAGTCTCCCCCCACATCCCAGGATTTGCCTCCGCGACGGCGGTTGATAGGGCGGGACTATATTAGGAAAGTGCCTTTATTCCGTGCACAATTCCTATGTTGTAGACACCCTGTCGAGGGCTGTGTGTATATAGCATAGAACGCACTCATGTTTTTTTCTATCCGTAGTATTACTCACACTATGTTATATTTGCAACAAATATACATCACAGGTTCAGAAGGCTTCGAAAGTATAGAAGCCTGCTGCATCGGCAATGAAAGCCATGAATCTCGGTACTTGCCGTACTATCTAATGACATAGATCAATCTATTTCTGCTTTGTTAACTATAAGATTTATTATCCCGAGAATCACTTGGTACCCCACATTTTCTGCAAGCTATGCATGCGGCAGGTTACTAGCCGTCACCTCGGCTATGACCCCCCTTTATGAAGAACAGAGTTATCTAGATATAATTGTCAATTTTATATATAAGATATAGATAAGATAAATTTTGACTATAGCCAGTCTCTCAACATCTCAGAGCTAAGCAATAAACTTGTTAAATGTGCCTAGAAACGCTCCGAGTTATAGATCTCCGATGATGTGGCGCATTCATCCGATATCCGGACCTACGGACATGTGCTTCGACTGATCAGCGAATGGACCTTTCATCATATTTCTCTATTACTCATTCTCTCATGATTTGTACAGTCCAACTATCTATACGCCCCCTCAACTGTAAACCCCGCCTCTGACCAAAATGGCTACGCTAAACGAACAACTTGCAACATTGATCGAGAACTATTCGCCCTGCGATGTATGCGCGTTACTTATCCATAGGCTATCAAACCATCAGGTGTATCTAACATTCTAATTCTCCAGGTATCAGATGCCCTCATCAAACTACAAAAGACACCCGAGGGCACCACAGCAAGAGCCGGCTATCTTGCAGATCTAGGTAAGCCATCAATACCACGCTCCCCGCCAAAGCCTCTATCTATAGCTCCAATAATCCCAACTCACATATATGTATCTACTAGTACCATTCTCTCCCACAACAGGTCGAAATGAAACAATGCCCAAGATTGCGGCCCCGGCAACAACATTCAAATTTCTAGGCAAAGATGCCAGCCCACCATCAGTCGCGACAGAAAATCCCCAGAAGCACGGTTTCTTGCCAGGTAAGCACTGGGTAGATCACGTCGGCGAATTCCAAGATTCGGATCCTTCCGGCGCCGGATCCATCGTCGTCATTGAGCAGCCCGAGAACCAGTACTGCGCTGTGACGGGCGGGATCATGGCGACCCGGATGAAGGCCCTTGGGATCAAAGCCACGATTGTGGGTGGTCGTGTCAGGGACTTGAAGGAATTGAAGGCTACTGGGCTTCCGGTTTGTCATAATCTATCATGGTTTAGCCGGTAGCGTTGCTAATTGCTGTTTGCTTGGTAATAGATCTGGGCTCGTGGTACTTCTACCGTTGGCACCAGTGCCGAGGCCAAGGCTGGTGCTCGTGATGTGCCAATCTCAATTGATGGTGTTACTGTTTCGCCTGTAAGTTGGCTCCTATGTTGTCCGCCGATTGATTTATTGTGTTGTTCATGGTCTAATAGTTGTAATCCATTATAGGGAGACATTATCTTCTGTGACCCCTTGGAAGGAGTAGTGGCCATTCCTCGCGAGCTGCTTGATCAGGTGCTCGAGCTCATGCCTAAACTGACTACAATGGATGAGCAGGCTAAGGAGGCCGTTGCGCAGGGAATGAGTGTCACCGATGCTTTTAAGAAATTCCGCTGATGGCTCGCTCGTAGACGAATGTCTATACATACAACCAGATTATATAGTAGGCGATGAACTGGAAATACCTGGACCAGGCGAACACGAGCATCTATAAATCTACAACAATATTGCTATGAGATGTGGAGCAGAAATTTAGCCAGGCATATATAGTTATGCAGTTCCATTCTTTTGGTATTCGTAGTATTCAATACATAACGAGAAATCTGTGTATCCGGGGGAAAAAAAGGGGCTGAAAAGCCAAATCGCTGTGCAAATATACAATCGAAACACAAATTTCATTTACTCCGATACCCAAACAGCGGCCATACCCATACCGGTACCGATACACATGCTGGTGACACCAATCTTCTTGTTTGTGCGCTTGAGCTCAGTGAACAATGTGCTGACTTGGCGAGCACCAGTGCAGCCAAGAGGGTGACCGAAAGCAATAGCACCACCCTTAGGGTTAACCTTCTCGGCAGGAATGCCGAGCTCATTAACACACCAGACACACTGGGAAGCGAAGGCCTCGTTGATCTCATAGATGTCGACATCCTCCTTGGTGATGCCAGCCTTCTCAAGTGCAACGGGGATAGCCTTCCAGGGGCCGACTCCCATGAGCAGGGGCTTGACACCGACGACGCTAGCAGCGACGTACTTGCCGAGGATCGTCTGGCCGAGACGCTCGGCGGTGGAGCGCTTCATGAGGAGTACGGCAGCGGCACCGTCGGAGATCTGGGAGGCGTTACCGGCGTGGATGGAGCCATCCTTGGCAAAGGCGGGCTTGATCTTGCCCAGGGACTCGGCAGTGATACCGGGGCGGATTCCGTCATCGGCCTTCACGGTGATGGTCTTCTCCTCGCCGGTCTTGGGGTCGGTCCACTTCACGTCCAGGGGAGCGATCTCCTCGTCGAAGAGACCAGCCTTCTGGGCGGCAAGGGCCTTTTGGTATGAGTGAGCAGCGAAGGCATCTTGGGAAGCGCGGGTCACGCCACGGTCCTTGGCCATGTTCTCGGACAGGACACCCATGGGGACCTTGCAGTTTGCGGACTCGGGGTGGCTCTCGAGGAGATCAGAGAACTCGGTGACGGCACCGGGTCTGTATCAACTTGTTAGTCATATTATCAAAGGAAGGGATTCCGGGGGGCTTGAAACATACCCGTACTGGGAGGACATGCTCTCAACACCGGCGCCAATGCCGACATCGATCATGCCGGACTGAATGGCGTTGGCAATATCGGCAATAGCCTGGAGACCGCTAGAGCACTGACGGTTCAAGCTCTTCACTGCGGTGCTCTCAGGGAAACCAGCCACGAGAGCGGCGGCACGGAACTCAGTGGCTCCACCACCGGGGGCAAGGACGGAGCCGACGGCAATGTCCTGGACAGCACTGGGGTCAACACCGCTCTTGTTCAGAACAGCCTTGAAGACACCGGCAAGCAGATCAGCGCCGGCGGTATCCTTGAAGCCACCCTTGCCACCCTTGGTGAGGGCAGTGCGGAGGGCACATGTCACGACAATGTCATCGGGGCGCTTCTCGAGGATGGCGGCGGCTCCCTTCTTGCCGCCAGGGCCGAAGTGGGAGGAAACCTGGTTGAGACGTTGCTGGGCTATAAAGTGGAAATTAGTTTTCTAGTTCTATTTCGATTATAACTTGCAACAAGACACCAAAAACCAAGCATTCTGTTGAATACATGGCTATGAGCTGTCACATGCATAGCACTCACCGTTAGACATGACGTCAATGTGTGATGGAGGTATGGGAGAGGTGTGAGGATGAAGAACAGGGCAAAAGTGAGGATAATAAAGTAGCCCAGATATCCGGGGAACCGATGGTTTATAAATCAAGCCCGTGAAATCGGTGGTATTTCCCCTTTGGACGACCGTTGCTGGCCTCTGTCGCATTCTAAGAAAGTACCGAGGTCCATCTAGCCGCATCATCGTTGATCCACGACAGTCACGGGATCTCCGACTGGTGGATCAGACGGGGCATGTGAAATCGGGGTACCGCATATCACATGCGTGTGGGGAATGGTCGGACTCATGTTTTAGGACGTCATATAAGTAGATCAGCTCGGCACGAGGCTACTCATATATTTAATGCGTTTTTAGTCGTTGTCTACATAAATAGTTTATTCTGGTGCTTCTCGACATGATATTGGCATCGGGATGTGTCTCCACATCAAAGGAATGGCTGAATCTACGTTCTTTTGTCACAGATGTTGATTCCATGGATCCAAAAGGGAGGCCTTATCACAATCAACTCCCCTGATAGCTCAGCTGGAAGAGCGCAAGACTGTAATTGCTGTTCCCTTCGGAGAACTTGTCATCTTGAGGTCCCTGGTTCGATCCCGGGTCAGGGGATCATTTTTTATTTTTGTCCTGTATTTTGTGCTACATCATTCAAGAATAGTTGCGTGGCGTCTTTTTATATGTCTTTTTAAATATCTTTCTTTACACATATTTTGCCGCCCTTCTCGGTTTTATAGATAGACGGTAGAAGAAGGCGGAGAAAGGCTTGGTTTGTATGACAATCAGGGGCCAGGGAAACTTGCCTATGTTGTTTCTGTGGGGATCATTCAAACAACCAACTACATTGATCCAACACAATGACCGCAAACCCCTCTACGGTCGTGGATATCAACCTCCTATCAGAATTTCTCAGCGACAATCAAGTGCCTGATCTCTCCACCACATCCCCTGTCGACTGCATTGTCATATGCGCCTCAGCCGTTCTCCACAGTGCCGAGGTCCTCTTCAAGACTCTTCAGCAAAGACCATCTCTTACCAATGCTCTCGTACTATGCGGCGGCATCGGGCACTCAACCGAGCTCCTTTATGATGCAGTGAAATCTCATCCAATCTTTTCGCGGATCACTGATGAAATTCAAGGTCTTCCTGAAGCCAAAGTTCTCGAACGAATTTTAGATGAGTATTTCGATCGATCTCTCATCACCAGAGAAGGATGTCAGATTCTCCTTGAACCACAATCTACAAATTGCGGACAGAATGCTTCATTCTCTCGCAAGGTCCTCGATGAAGCGGGGTTTCAGGCACCAGCCACTTGCATTATCATTCAAGATCCCACAATGATGCTCAGGACCAAGGCATCGTTTGAGAAGGCTTATGAGTGTGCTCAATCTCCGGTCTCGGTTATTAGTTGCCCGGTATTTGTGCCACAGGTACAATTATCCCGTAACGGAGTCATTGAGTATTCAGACACATCTCCACCGTCAGAATTGTGGTCACAAAGTCGGTTTTTGGAGCTAATCATGGGGGAGATACCGAGGTTGAGGGATGATAAAGATGGTTATGGTCCTCAGGGGCGTGGTTTCATTGCTCATGTGGACGTTCCAAGCCACATTGAGGCAGCTTGGTCTCGACTACAAGTGGTGACTAAGAGCTCTAGATAACGATGTAGAGATACCGAATGCAAATAGAGCACAAAGCAGAGACATTTTATGTATTGTTGAAAGCTACATATTTGACTACGATAGTACAGGAACCGAGGCATCAAATGCAGATCCCGTGCATGTACCTGCAATGCAAGTGCGGCATACATACCACCCCAACTACAATACGTACCCTACAGAAAAGGAATTTGGGGTACTTTCTGGTTGTTTCAAACATGTAAAAAAAAAGGTACAAAATCTTGAAAACAAATAAAAAATGATCCCCTGACCCGGGATCGAACCAGGGACCTCAAGATGACAAGTTCTCCGAAGGGAACAGCAATTACAGTCTTGCGCTCTTCCAGCTGAGCTATCAGGGGATGTGATTGGTTGATTTGCTCTTTTGAGTCTTATGAAGCAAGAACACAATTCCTTTTGCAAGCGATGTCCACTTCAACTAAGTTACATACAACCTTGGACCACTCAGTTTCTTGTTGAAAATAAAAGGCATAGGCACACTTATTACTTGGTAGACATGGGCGTATCCAGATAAGCTGGCGGCAAAATACCCTCTATGGCAGCTTTGATCTGAAGCGCCAACGTCCGCGAGTGCCACCGGTGTTGCTGTGTATAGCCACCCATCACCCAAAAGCCATCAAGGCGTGACTGTCTCTTCCACAAGCCACGGATCTCGCCCTCGGAATCGACACCCCATGTGGCGTCAATACGAACAGCAATCTCGTGGGGACCAAATTTCTGCTTACCATTGGCCTCGCCGTCCATGCTATTCTTGCCATTCTGGGCACCGCCGGAAGTCTGGCTAGGAGAGCCGCCTAGGATCCCAGCAGCAGTTTCGCGCACGTCTTTATCAGCGAATCCAGTACACCATGTGACAGCATCCACGTCCACATAGCTGCCATCCGAGAACCGCAGCCCCGTCGACGTGTATGCAACAGGCTCAACATTAGCCTTGATACCAGCCTTGCCTTCTTCCAGCAACTTCGTACCGCCTATATCGACATAGTGTCCACCAGCCCGCTCAATCAGGTTCTGCATCAATGCACATTCTGGGTTGGTGCTGTCCAAGACGGGGAATCCAGCTGCTGCCAGAGCTCCGTATCGATCTGGCTCCTGTGATGCGAAATGTGCAAATAGGTTGCAGGTGAGCTGGGCATCTATGAATGTCGGCAGTGTCATGAAAAGGTTATCTGCACGCTCCACGCCGGCATCATAAGCGCCTAGGCTGGCTGGGTGATCGATGTACTCCACTGGGACCATGTATGTCGGAGACCGAACGTTCATTGTTGTTTGGAGTCCCGCAGCGTGGCAGTCCCCGAGGATATCGAAAGCTGTATTGGCGGATCCAATTACTATGACTGACTAGAAAGGAAGTGATGCGGTCAATCTCGATTCTGCTAGTTTGTTTTTCGCACTGGAGCTTCGCTCACCTTCGCTCCGTTCTGCTTAAGTTGCTCGGCATTCTTGTATTGCTCTGAATGGATGTTGATACCTCTATACAGGTGGCCATCTGCTATTGATGGTATACTCATCTTTTGGGATCCAATGCCTGTGGCCATGACAACGTGTTTAGAGACTGCCGTACGTTGACCAGCGGGAGTCTGGAACTTGACCATCCACCGCTTGGTCGATGGATCATACTCTGTCCATTGAATCTGCGCCGAAGTGATCATGTTAAGATTGAAGGCATCGACATATCGTCGTACCTGAGAACCCAAGTCCTCTTTCGAGAGACGGTGGGGAGTTAAAAGCTTCTTGTCATAGTCTGGTTTCCAAATTTCATATCAGTCACGCTTAGTCGGATATTAAGGCATAAGCAACTTACCCATATAGGGCAAGTGGCAGAGTGAAGTGGGGACATGGAAATGCATGCAATCATAGCGGAGAGCCCAATTGTCCCCTGCCTGGGCATTGCGCTCGGCCATGACGCTCTCAATCCCTAGGGCTTTAAGACGTGCCGCCAAGGCTATTGCTCTTTGCCATCAAGTGGTATGTTAGCATGGATATTTTTCGAAGTTTTGCCTCCACTTACGCATTTCCGCCTCCGATTATGAAGACTTCGGTCATGAAGCTCTCGATTCCCTCGAGTTGTCTTCCAGGAGAATAGAGAAGTGGCTCATTCTCTTTCTGCAAGTCCAGCTCTTTCAAAATAGTGCTCAGAACCCATATCTTCCACTCGATTGTCTCGTTGGCGCCTTTAACCGGCAATAGTACTATCTTTCCTTTGCAAGCGGCGGCTGGCGAGCTAGTTTGGAAGACAATTCCACAGTCAATGAATTGCTGTGCACCAAAAGTTAACTACCCTTCACCAAGCTCCATTTCCACATATCCATGCCATTACTTACAAGAACTGGTGTTGCTGGGATAAACATAGCCCCGCCGTCGATCGTTATGTCTCCCTTGATGGCCCTCAGCTTGTTAGTCTCCAGCAGACTGGCAGAAATTATGTCTGGTGTTTTAAATGTCCGCAGATGATACGTCAGTGCTAGCTGATCTTTCCAGTATGCCCGATCCTTCCAGAAGCAGTCTTCCAGCGCCTCCGGATCATTTCTAGCCAGCGCGGTGTTCAGCTTATCCAATACAGCCTGAGCTTGCTTGGTTGGCTCATCACCCACCATCGAGGCCGGATCTATTATTCCAGGGGCGAGCAGAGGAAGCGGATGCTGGATCATCAACCTGAGGAGGTCGACGCGGGGGGGCAACTCATCGTATGACGATGACATATTTTCGTATGTTGAACATCAATCTTATTAGTACAACGAACCTATACTCATCAGTCGTCGGATGAAACTCACTAGCATTCATTGTTGGGTTTGAAATAGATGATGCCTGCTCTGTGTAGGATGTAAATATTTGACAACGCTCCCTGATCGGTCGCACTAGCCACGGGAGACAGTATCCCTGTACCAGCTAGGCATTCAGGGACATTGGCCGACTCATGCATCTCCTCCGCCGCCTACGGACTAGTGCAGCGGCGGTCCGTATCTCCCAGGGTTTTGGTGCACATTTCATGCCTCGGATATCACCCCTTGCTCCGTCGAGGTGACAACAACTCAAGAAAAATCCCAGGGTGCTTTGCCGGTGGTTGATAAGTACTGACCCATACAAGAAATACGCCTCTACGAGTTGAAACATCAGACATGGGGCTGTGCCTGGTGGGGAGCCACTAACCATTGGCTCTATCCTTCAATTGATCGGCAGTGGTATGTCCGCTGTCAGGTCTTGAAAATTACGTCTCCAGTGTGTCAACCCACTTTACTCAATTCTTCAATGCTCTCCCATGAATGAAGAAGCAGAGGATCTCGGAGCTATGCCCTGCGTTCCAATATACTAGGAATATAAGGTACTACTGGGTAGATTACTGAAAGCTTTGAAGAAATGCCCCTGGGATATCATGATTTATTGAAGGTAAATCATTATCTATCGATGTTCAGAGTTGCTTCTCGCTTACTGCGGTCTCTTAATCTCACAGTTTTCTCTTGTTGATTTGGATTTCCTAAACTAAGCTCTCTTTTCGGGTAAGCGTGTCTATTTTACCTGCTGGCCAAAAGGTACACATTTATAGGGGTCAGGCATGCTTGGTGATCTCTTGCATGGGTAGAATCTATATCATAGTATATCTAGGGGGGCGATTTTGGTGACATGACCTAGCAACTCCAGCTGGTTTGGTCCATATTTTGGCCCATTGTTGCAACACGAAATTCAGGAGGCCATCGAGATCATATTCCTGGTCATCAAACCTTATGAACTACTTGCTCAACTGCCAGTAGTAGATCACAGAGCCCATGTTTGATCACTCTCGTCAGAAGGCTGTCCAAGTAATCGCCAATAGTGACATTGGGCAAGAACCGCGGGCTCCCTGCGAGGGGGTGAAGTTCCACGAGCTCCACAAGTTTCTCTATGTGTCCTTGGGGCTTTTAGCATGTTCAATTTGGTGTATAGCCACCATTTATTGTATTATATATTTTGCCGTTCAAATGTGTGGGTTGCATGGATATATATTTGGATGGGATTTGGGCCCGCATCTATATATTCCCCACAATCCAGAGCTTTAATTCATATATCATCCGTTTGATAAGGGATAACCTCACAAACAATCTATTCCACGAGATCCAAGGACTGAAAAAATAGAAAAACATAACATAGAGGAACTACCCCGGCCCCCATGGGGTCGTGTGGGCATGGCGCCGGAAGCCAAGCATCCTTCGTATACCAGCGTTATCTTGTACTACGACCTCGACCTTATTGCTACAGTAGTATCGGCCAGAGGTAACAAATATAAGACATGTTTTAGGTCTATAATGGAAAGAAGAACGTCCCCATAAAAAAAGATAGGGCTAGACTTCCTATACTACTGTCTCTACAAATAGCTAGGTAAAAAAATAAAAAATAATCCCCTGACCCGGGATCGAACCAGGGACCTCAAGATGACAAGTTCTCCGAAGAGAACAGCAATTACAGTCTTGCGCTCTTCCAGCTGAGCTATCAGGGGAGTTCATGTTAGAGGCTTCGGAATTAAGCACTATAAGCCAGCAACATGTGCCAAACAGGCAAACCACCCGGCCACCCATATTCCAAGAATCACCAGCCAATATACCTCCACGAACCGAACCGAACAACCAAAGCAAGCAGATACACACCGATGTTCCGACGCGCCCTAACTGCCGCCTCATCAGCGCACGCATCACCCACAAGCACAATAGCAAGCGCCTCAACCTGCAAGCTCCAACTCACCCGCCCATCATGGCAACTTGTACGCATACCCAAGAGCAAGCAGGAGCACAAAACGCTCCTCGCTCTTCGATTGTATCTCCAAGCCTAAACCCAAAGCAAAAACTAACCATAAACCCGCTCCAACAGAGCCCCAGTACCACCCGCCTCTTCACCACCACTCCATTCACAGCCTTCACAGCATCACCACCAACCAAAGACCCCTCACCCTTCCGCCTCTCCGCAAACAAAACCGAATCCTCCCCGACCCCCTCCTTTGAAGATGTCTATTACAGCCCTTACCAGCCGAAGCGCCAATGGCCGCCGGATATGTCCAAGCTGTCGCCGAAACACCAGTTTCGACTTGAGCGCAAGTACCGTCGTCGCGCGGCGCTGAAGTATGCCCGGCCGAAGTTTATGAAGGCTGTTACGTTGGGACAGTGGGTTGTTATTGGATGTGAGTCTTTGCCGAGAATACGGAATTGGGTTTGAAATTGGGGATTGCGAACTGCATATAAATCTGCGGTGGATTTTGTGGATGGATTTCGAGGAAGAATGCTGACTTCTTATGCTTCCTAGTTGTCATTATCTACTCTGTGTTGTTCATGGAGTGGGATACGGAGGATACTGCGTTCCATGCGGTAAGTTATCCTTGTAGTCTGGGAAGTATTTCCGTTGTCTCTTGACTAACATGATTTCGCCTCACAGATTCGGGAAAAGTTCTTCGCTGGTCTCCGGGCTACATTCTCCAGCGCACCGCCTCCCGGTCCGAGAAGGGATCAGAAGGATAATGCGGTGTCCGAGGAGAGCTAGTAGTCGTGTCATATATATCGGCTTATCAATATTTTGTACAATATCCAACTAGATTCCCTACTTGCATATGTAGTTTACTAGAAAATCTCAAAATTCAATAAGAAAACTACTGTCGATTCATTCAATTCTCATATCTGTTCATAGGTCATTTGTCATGAAGAAGTCCTGTCGGAAGAACAGGCGTCGCTGTACCATGGAGAGAAGGAGAAAGGGACAGGGAAAAATCAACAGTCTGTCTCTTTCTCGCTTTCTGCTCCGTCGCCTGTGCCAATATTTGGCTTCATTACATCATGTCCACAGGACTTCTCTGGACAAGGAAATGCAGTCAACATGCCAATAACACCAAGAATGCCAACGCCTGTCAGAAATAACAGACCACCGATAAACTCCGAAAGTCAAGTAAAAAAAAAAGATACCCAACAAAATAAGTTGGGGTGGGGCTGCTTGAGGACCAGCCCTAACGCCGAGTCATGATAGTGTGAAAACCAAAGAAGAAATAGGAAATAAAGACAAGAGAGGAATGGGAAATTCGTTAAATCGAACCGGGGGGTTGCACACCCGGTCCTTAAAGCCAGCTGCGCAAGTCACTCGACGGGGTAGTCGGACCAGCAGCTGGGCGGTTGTCCGAGAAGTCCAGGGCAAGCTCCAACCTGGGCGGTCGCTCGTCGATCAGGCCCTTTCTAGGACTACCGGGCGCGGACTTCTTGGGGGATTTGGTGGGCGAGCCAGGTTCGCCTGCTCGTGGCGGGCCTTCGCGCACAAAGGTATAAGGCCAGCGATCATCGGCTGCTGCTGCGACCCAGGTTCGCAGGCAATCATGCACAGAAGAATAGAATTTCTCTTTGCAAGTACGGAGACTACCACCCATGACTTTCTCAAAACCAGAGGCACGGAGCTCATCACGTAGTTGGTTTCGCTCATCGGGGGTGGGCAGCATGGCAATCAGGCCGTTCACAAGATCGAGATGTGCCGCAAGATAGTTGGTCGCATCCCATTCAACACCTCCTACGTATGGAGCAGCCGGAACAGGAGGACGAGGAACTGGGAAGTGACGCTCGTTGTAAGGACGAGTGTCTACTGGTGTCTTTTCACCGAAAAGGTCCTCCGACTTGGGGAGGGGAATCACGTTCAGGTGATGAAGGAAGATCCAGAAGACCTCCTTGGTCACATTGGTGACCTCCTTACACCACACTCTATAGGGTCGTGACTGGTAAATGTTGGCAATGAAGGCCAGCGGTTGGTTGTCCACCGGTGGGGGAGGGTCCTTCAGATAAGAAAGGATCTGTTTGGCGCGCTTGGTCGCCAGTTCACCAGCAGGAGCAGCGGAGAGCTGCGTGAATAATAGATTTGCGATGATCCCTCTAGTGGTGAACTCACTGGGACCCTTCTTTTCCTCATCAAAGAGCATATGCAGCAGAGCGGGGAAAAGCTCCTCCTCGATGGAACCGAGGTGTGCTAGGGCTACCGATGTAGTGCACAGAGCCTTCAGACAGAGCAATGCCTCATGTAAAAGCGTGTCTTCGTGGTCCTCGCTGTAAAACGGATTAGTTACTGATCTTAATGAAGGGAGGGATAGGATCCATACCGCCAAGTCATCTTCATAATGCGGTAGAGAAGCTGCACAATCTCATCCATTCCTCCTTCAGTGATAAAGTCATTGACCCAATGGACAGTTTCGTTACGTAGGAGAAGGCGCAGTTTGTGCATCTTTCCCACCTCAACCATCTCAGGCTTTTGGATCTCTCTCAAGTAATGCACGAAGTCGGAAGGATCCGCCGCGGTATCGACAGCGGCCGCATCGGCAAGTGATGCAGTTGAAGCATTGGCTGAGAGAGTAGTGTAGACACCGACAGGCTGGGAAAGATCCACAGATCTTGGCCGACGGCTTGATGCTTCACTGTCCCGCCGCAACTTTTTGCCAGGCGACGAGGGACCTTTAGTGAAAGTGAATCCACGGCTTCTAGATCTTGAACGAGACCCTTTGCGATCCTGAGGCTGGGAGTCTTCCTTGGATTCTTTCCCGCGTCCTCGACGGCTATCACCGGTTGCCGTGCTGAGAGGAGTGATGTTCTCCGTCCGATCTTTCTGGATAAAATCAGCCTTGATATTGGTATCAAGTGAGCGCATCTTGTCTCTCATGTTATGAGGGATATTTCTCGCATCCTAAGAAATAGGTTAGCCTTGCAATTCAGATTTATTCCATGTAGTACGGTCAACAAACCAGCAGCTTCTCGAACTCGCTTTCGAGATCCTTGGAGTTCAAATGTTGATGCACTTCAGCGTCTCGTTCCTTTGCATTGAATGCCGAGATAGCAGCCTGTACACGAGAAAGCCGCTTGGGTTCTTCTTTCCCCATGGTAGGCGGGGATGTTTTTCGTGGACTCGGTGGCCCTCTGCTCTTAGAAGAAGCACTATCAGCTCGTCCAACAGGGTCGCTTTCTCCTGAAGGTGCGCGCTGTAGCCCAAGAATATCCTTCATTTTGCGGTTTCCTGTCAAAATGTCTGACTTGGGGCGAGGCTTGGAGTCATTCGACTTGGTGAGGGAGGGTTGGTGGTAGTCATAGAAGTTGCGTTGCTGGCTTGGCCCGTAGCCCCTGGGCGTATAGAGAGAGACTTCGTCCGCCACGGTTCGCTTCATGTCGGCGGTCGAGTTCGGCCTCGATCGACCAGTAGGCTCTTTGTGAACCGAGGCCGAGTCCTGTGACCAGACTGGGGATGGCATATTATCAATCAGGTCGGTCGGGCTGCGGTTTTCCTTGTCGCGACTCTGCTTCGAGCCATCCTTCCTTCCTCGTTGGGACCTTTTGAGGATGGCGGAGAGACTATTGGATGATTTAGCCTTTTTGGGCGACAGATCCTCACTCCGCTCGGGAGTCTCCTCCGATTTACCATCCTTCCGCTCCATATAATTTCTCAGAGACTTCAACGAAACAGCGCTCTTGGTCTTCTTATGCAGTGCCCCTTTGCTTTCCTTGCTGCCTATCTTTGGCGAGACCACTCCGTGGTCACCCGCATCACGATTGGGGACAATCTCACTTAGCGGGCGGTAGCCGGTCATGGAGCCAGGCTCCTCAGTAAATGGGAAGGGGATGTTCTCGGTTGGCCTGCTTCTCTGCAGAGGCCGCGGGGCCACGGCATCGTCGGCTGATTGATTTCGTTTATGAGTTTTGGACGACATTATGGCCCGGAACATGGACTGTTTGGTAGGGGATCGGTTCGCATCGTCAAAGATTTGGGGACCAGAGGTACTTGCAGCCATTGCTATCCTCTTTGACCAGCAACTAAGTACATCTTGTTAGTCGATGAAGTGGATGAAGACCTGGGGAGGGTAACGGGTAGTTGCAGTTTGGACTCACGGGATCTGTGGAAACAAACGCAGAATAAAACAACAACGCGGTCACAAAAAAGGGAGATAGTTAAGTATAGCCCTTAAATTTCAACAAAGAACAAAATGGCGGGGAAGCAGATAGGCCTGGTGGAAAGAAAAGCAAAGATCAGATGATGGGCAAGCTGGGGAATTTGAAGAATCAACGGCGTCTTGCTGCCAACAGCAACCGTCATCGAGTATCAAGATGTTGATCCACTTGCCTCGACTTAGCGCATAAGACGATCCTTGGGGTTGGCTGGATTGAAGGTGGAGGAGTAAACAACGTGCGGGTAAAGAGGTTGCGAGGGGCAACGAAGGGACTTGGCGGTGAACATGGGGTTTATTAGCCTTTTCTATTGTACTTTGTGTACTTTTTGTACGTTTATCGATGAGCTAGACATGTCATATTGCATATTATTGCCCATTCATTTTTGGGGTTATTTTAAGTGTGCATACAGTCCTTGCATCTTCTTTTTTTTCCCTTTGTTTATCTCATTGTTGTTATTGTTGTCACTGAATCCGGCTGATTGTATATATATTGGATAGATCCTTGATTGACATCACTTGATATATCTACTTTAAAATTTACAACATAAATGATATGAAAAAGCAATAGCTCTATATCTATCATCTTATAGACTATAGTTTGCAATAATCATCCCTCTTTGTTATCCTTAACCAGACATCTTCTCACCTATGCCAATGCCGGCAGGAATGGCCTAATTAAGAATAAACACACTATTGTATTACATGTGGTTATGTAGAGTAACTTTGAATTCTTTGTTTTTGTTTTTTTGTTTTTTTGTTTTTAAATTTATTTTCAAGATCTTCTGATCACATTTTATGCAGTTTGTGCATATAAGTATGACTCCGATCGTTTGCGCCTTCCGGTGGCGGGGAATTTAAGGCGATTGCTTACACCTCAAGACTAAACATGAAAAGACGTACAAACTAAAAAAGTAGAATTACGATACAAGTGGGGATTTAAAGCGATAACCCATGTGAGACAAGTTTGGGTTATATATAGGGTTTGCGGGTTCCAGAACGGCATAACGAACATCGGGCAATTTCGGACTCAATATTCCCCAAGTTCCTCGTTGAATACCTCTTGACACCCAAGAACTCAAGACTTATTTAAGGTGAATTCATCAACATCCAGAGCCAAGACACCAGAGCCAAGCCCGCATCCAGAGCCAAGCCTGCAACCATGAATTGCCCCTCGCGGACTGACGACACGCTTGAAAACCCGAGCTGGAATCAAAGCCCACCGCCCTTCAGCCCGGACACCACCACGCGGAATGACTTCAACGGTCTAGCCAATTCTCGAGTCCATCGCAGACATGCCCATTCTGCCAATGCAGCAGGAGATGATCCGTTATCCATCGATGCCAGACCGAACAGTCAGCAAGATCAAGACCCCGGAAAGGAAAAGGTGCCAAGCGGCGAAGTGATCGCTGCGGACTCGGGAGGTGATTCACCCCCGAGGAGCAGCGGATCACCTCGCCAACCTTTTTTTACTTATGTGACGTCTTCTTCTCTGCGCTGCGCTCGAACTCTGGTCAAGTTCAGCCGTTTCATCGGCCCTGGTTTCCTTATCGCCGTCGCCTACATCGACCCCGGAAATTATGCCACCGATGTCGCAGCCGGTGCAGACTTTAAGTACGCCTTATTGTTTATCGTTCTGCTTTCCAACCTCTTTGCGATTCTTCTGCAGTCCCTGTGTATCAAGTTGGGCTCTGTGACTGGTCTGAATCTGGCCGAAAATTGCCGAGAGCACCTTCCGAAATGGCTAGTGATTTGTCTCTATATCCTGGCGGAAGCGGCCATTATCGCAACTGATATTGCAGAGGTGAGTGTCGGATTCTGGTCTAGAGGTTATTACTTGACGTACTGACAAATTTGAAAGGTGGTTGGATCAGCGATCGCGTTGAACTTACTATTGAAGATCCCCTTGGTAGCTGGTTGTGCTATCACATTGGTCGATGTTCTTTTCATTCTCATTTTCTACCGACCCAATGGACAGATGTGGGGGCTTCGACTATTCGAGTTCTTTGTCATGGCTTTGGTGTTAGGTGTTGTTGTTTGCTTTTGCATTCAGCTCTCTCTCGTGAAGAACCAGTCAATTGGCGAAGTGTTCCGTGGATATCTGCCATCTTCAGCCATCGTTCAATCAGAAGGGCAAGTCTATCTAATCTGCCACTTTGAAAATTTCTAGTCACTAACGCATCTATAGTCTTTACCAAAGTTGTGGAATCCTCGGTGCTACTGTTATGCCACACTCCCTATTTCTTGGTAGCGGCGTGGTTCAATCCCGTCTCAAGGAGTTTGATGTCAATTCTGGTTATGTGGATACCTCCGTGCCTTTAGGCAGCGCGGACGGCGAAGTAAAATATCGCCCGTCGATCCATGCAATTCGCGGCTGCATGAAGTACTCGATCATCGAGTTGGCGCTGTCACTCTTCACCTTCGCCCTGTTTGTGAACAGCGCAATCCTAATTGTCGCGGGTGCTGCTCTCTATGATGTTCCAGGCGGAGACAATGCCGACCTCTTCGGAATTCACACCTTGCTCTCCCAGTCGATCGCACCAGCTGCCGGTTTAGTGTTTGCCCTCGCCCTGCTACTGTCAGGTATTTCCGCTGGAATCGTCTGCACGATTGCTGGTCAAATGGTGAGCGAGGGGATGCTGAACTGGACTATCCGACCATGGCTTCGAAGACTCATCACCCGCTCGATCAGTATCATTCCCAGCATCATTATTGCTGCGGCTGTTGGCAAGGATGGTCTTGACAAGACTTTGACTGCGAGTCAGGTTGTTTTGAGCGTTATTCTACCATTTGTCTCGGCGCCGCTTATCTGGTTCACTTGCCTCAATCGCTATATGACTGTTCGGACAGAAGAACCCTCCGAACGAGAGGGAGAAGTTGATGTGGTGACAGTTCCGATGCGGAATAACATAATCACTTCGGTGGTTGCGGTCCTTGTATGGGTTGTCATCGTTGTGATGAACGTGGCCCTGCTGGTGCTGGTGGGAATGGGCAAGGCATGATGTCGTCCATGACACAAAATATACACATCTGGGACACAGGAATGACCAACCATGTCCCTGATTGCAGCAAAAATAGATATATGGAGCTTGGTATTGCATATGCTAATTGCTTTTGTATAATTTATGGATGGAATGAGAGCTTTAAATATGATATGAGTGTAGCTTATTGCAAGTTAAAATAAACACCTCAATCAACTCCCCTGCCTGCGTCTTGACACAGAAGAACACCTAGTTGCCGCTAAACAAAAGTACGCTTTAACATTAGTCTTATCCGAGTCCGCCCGCGGCCTCCTTGACCTTATGTTGCTCGGGCGGCTCATCAATAAACTGCGGCGGAGCCACCTCATCCTGTAAGAAGCTCGGCATAGCACTCTCGCCCATGCTGCTCTCAAACATGGATTCCTCGCCAAGCGCCTCGAGCTCTGCATCCAACTCGGCCTCATCAACATCCTCAGGGACATCATAGGCGCGGGAGATACTTTCTTGAATCTCATTCCCGACCTCCATCAGATCCGCCATCTCATCCTGCATCTGCTCGATCTTATCCACGTCGACCTTGCCATACTGCTTCTTGAGTTCCTTGGTTGTGGTCTTCATTGCGTCCACCGTTGTCATCACATTCTTCAAATTATCCTGCATCATGCCCGCCTGTTCCATGTTCCATGATTGTTGAGAGAGTTGGTCGCGCTGCGCCTCGTATTGTTTTCGTCGCTGGAGGACCTTGAGCGCTTTCTGTCGGAGAGCATTCTTGCCCGGCCCGTCGCGCATCTTCGCGATCTTGCTTTGGTATGTGGAGAGTTCGGAGTTGAGTGCTGCTAGCTTGACATCTATGCTGGACACTCGAGTGTCGACCTGTTGTTTGGTTAGTGGGGTATCTTGAGGGGCGGGGATGGGTGCCTTGGATCGGGCTTCGTACATTGCTAATAGCACCTTCAAGAGTCGGCTTGGGGCCTGTACTCTTTGTGCCAAATAGTCGGTTCATGGTGGTGGGTTGGGTTGGAGGGTTATTATTGAAAGGTGAAGGTGAGGGTAAATAGGCAGCGGACTTGGGAGCGATTCCAGACCGCGCGTGGCCAGTGCTCAATAAAACCGCGATGGGTGGGCCGAGTGGTAATTAACCAATAGCTGCGACAGAGCTGGTAAGAGCTGGCAAAGTGTAGAATAAACGACAAGACTTGAATTGTTTCCTATGTAGGTGAATACGTTAAGTACGTAGACCGGATTGCCTCGAACCACTTCTTGGCTTTCCCTTGCCGCTTTAGCCCTGAGGGCCTGCCGCTTTTTGCTCAGAGTAAAACTGAGCACGACCCTTTATTATATAAGCTCACTGATCTCCCCGGGGCCCGAGCCCTGAAGGTCCCGGGGTCCCGAGAGGTCCACCTGGGCAGGGGCTAGGCAGCCCTAGAGGTGCCTATGTTGTAGGTGCCCACCTAAACTGATGTCCTTTTGAGGTGCCTCAGTTCTGATCCTCCGGCTTATCAAGTTCGGCCATCTTCCTAATTGAGCCCAACTATGATAACAGAAGAGACACCGCGAGCTGGAAATACGAGCTAGACTTAAAAATGGTCTTGTTTAAAACTAGTTGTATCTTGGTCCTTCGCTTATGTTATGTGCATACTTTTGTGTAGAAGCATTGTGGTCAAAAAGCATGGAAATAAAATAACAAAAAAGTCATCGCCCGGAGGCGATCCGGCAGCTTGAGATCAAACGGTACTCAAGTTAAGGATGGACGGGGATCCAATGGGCAATGCGCCAAATGTCGCCAACGACAACTGCTAGGCCAAATGCCCGCCCATCCATTCCCACATACTGCGCAGTGCCATTTATCATACGAAATGAAGTGGAAAATGGACTTCATCGAGAAATATACTTGCTCTAAAAAATTGATTTCCTAAACATGATTGTTCCATTTCCCTTCACACCAAGCCCAGAATTTGTTCCCATAATCCAGACCCCCCTCCTCCTTGGAATCCCCAGATTTGATGAGATCCTGTCGCGGAGTAGCTTCATTTGGGCGGATCCGGCCCCAGGGAATGATGTACGAGCCGCTCTTTTCCAACGTGACATCGGGCGAGAGGCCAGCATAAAGTTCCGTGTACGCGCCATAGATCGCATCACTCAGGATAACTTTGTTCAGTACGAACATGATGACTGCAGAGGTCCCATTGAAAGAAGCTGTCTTCAAGAATCCCGGGTTCAAACAAACACTGACGATTCCATCCTTGGCGTATCGACGAGCAAATTCCCGACTGAGAATCCAGGTACCCGCTTTGGATGTCCCATAATTCTCAGTGAGACTTTTGGTTCCTTTGTCCAACAGGTCGAAATTGATGCCGTTGGGTGGTGAGGCCGCCTCTGCCAGAGCGCTCGATGTCCAGACGACACGAGTCTTGCCACTCTCACCAGAAGCGGCGGCAGCGCGCAGCTGCGGGAGGAGGAGCTTAGTGAAGAGCAGTGTCGCAATACAGTGCATTCCTATCATAGGGTCGAAGTCTTGAGCTGTGCGTTGGCCGATCGTGACAGCGTTAGCGCCGGTGCCGGCATTGTTCCACAGTACATCTAGCTTATCTTCCTGCTGTGCGAAACTTTCCGCTGCGGCCTTGACGACCAGGAGATCATTTAGATCAAGATGCAAGAACTTCAGTTTGCCACTGGTACTTTGGGATTTCGACACCTCGGTAATAGTTTTGATGGCCGCTTCTGCTTTGGTCTGCGATTTCAAGATGATTAGTAGAGTGGGGGCCATAAAACAACTGTTTGGACTCACCTGGGATCGAGACGCCATATAGACAGTCGCTCCGCCCGCATAGAGGATCTTGCATAGCTCAAGTCCAATACCCGCATTTCCACCTGTCACAATAAAAATGCGGCCATTCTGTGAGCCTGGGGGGACATTTGCCTCAGTGAAAGCTGGAGTAGGAGGATATGCTTGTGTGAGGGTGGCGCGGAGGCTTGAAAAGGGCGCCATGATTATGCCTCGGTGAATGTATGATACCTATGATATAAACCATGTCGTTCATGCTTGTAGTTTATGTATGATAAGGAGGATATCAAAAGGAGCGGACTTCGTATTAGCCCGAATGAGTAAATTTCTAATGAGCAGGGGGTCATTTGTAATCATAGTCTGTACTTTTGTACATCTAATGGTTACCTGGGAGATTAGCGGATAGAAACTGAATGTATCTGATTCGCCATCTTAGGTAGTTGTTGATGGTGTTCACGGGTGGATTCGTCCGTCCGGACCAACTGTAGATTTAGGGTTGCTCCACTCCCCACCTAGTGGAGCTTGGATTGTTTTCTTTATTTCTTACTCCATCTCTAGTTCATCGTATACTTACATTGTTTCCTATGTGTATATAGATATATACTAGCTTTAAGTTTGTATGTCTTCGGAAATACTTTCTGTCGGAATTGGCTGTCTAGTCTAAGTCTTCGGCACCCCCATTTCTGGTCGGTACTCAGCTAGCTGTTGGAGTAATAGGCAAAAATATAAGAATCGAAAAGTGCATTATCAAGTAGCGAACTTACTTCTATAATTCTGTGTGACTAGGAATGAAAATGCTATGTAACCTAATAGTTCCCTCAAAGGAAAGGAAGCAGGAAAAGAGAGAGATAGGTGAATTAAAAGAAAGAAACTATCTCTCTATAACATCAAAGGTAGAAAGCCTGCCACATGTGATCACTCACATGAGGCATCGCAATAGAAAGTATAATGGGTAAACACGGGGCGAATAGACACCCACGCCGTCCGCGCGTAGTAATAAGAAACATAGAACCAAAGGAATGAACTTCCAAGGCCACTATTAAATAGAGCCTTTTAGAATACAAGTGAGAATAACCTCAATCCACACCCGAATCATGGTACAGCTTAGCAAAACACGGCCACAGATCACAGATCTAAGATTCCCTGGCTAAGGCGCAAGCCCACTTCAGTTCTTAACCTTTGTAGTACCATCGAGGGTAACAACGCGCTTGTTGTGGAAGGTATCCTTCACAAATTGTTGGGAGTTGTGCTTCCCGTCCTTGATGAACTCGTCGTTCCAGGTCATCCAGTAAGCCCAGGGAACGTTCTCCTTAGCCTGAAGCTCAGGATCGGGGATGGACCCAACTTCCGCCAGAGCAAGGACCCTCTCACTCTTGGTAACATTTTGCAGGTCGTGGAATTTGTCTCCTAGGGCACCATGGTCACCAGCGTCGCCATAGTAGTCAATAGTGGCAATATCGCACTTTTCGTTTCCGGGATACCACTTGGAATCGGCGGTGTTGCAGACCCACACGATGTTGTGGATATTGTGCACGCGGGTGATGCGGTCGTAGATGATGTCCCAGAGCTTCTTGAATGGAGCTGGGCCTTTAGCTCCCCACCAGAACCATGCACCTTCCGGCTCGTGAAGCGGGCGGAAGAGGATCGGAACATCTGCATCCGACAAACGTTTGAGCTGGACTGCAATGGCATCGATATCCCGAATCAATAGTCGGTAGTCCGTTCCGTTCCCGCGGCGGCTAAGTGCATTGGCCACATTGAAACAGGTCGCCTCGGTGTAGAACCCTCTATACCACGGCTCTTTATCGGTGTCGAGCAAACAGTTGGGGGCATACCAATGCCAGACAAGAGCATTGATACCGCCTTGCTTGTCAAAGTTGATGGCTTGCTCGATAGTCTGACTCTTGGTTCCGCGGGCAACGCCGGAGGGCGAGTAATTCATGAGGTCGGTGCCCAGGATGGCTGGAGTGACGCCGGTATTCTCCTTCACCCATTCCAGGCTGGACAGTTCCTGCTGACCGGAAATGTAATGCGAGCCGTATTGGGATTGAACATACTTGAGGAGCTCCTTGGCTCGGGGAGTGGCGGCCTTGTCAATGTTGTCGTAGGACAACCCGGCGGCCAGCGTCGAGGCAAGAAGAGAAAAGATCGAAAGTCTGGTGAACATTATGGAACACAAGAACTAGAATGAATGAATGAAAGAGAGAATGAATGAATGATAGTTGGGTACTACATGCGACTTGTTTCTCTCTTATAAGTTTGACTTGTCGCTGATTTGTGTATGAGTCCACCTATGGACCCTTGAAATCAAGCTGAAACTACAATTCGACTTATTATGACATATAAACAAGGCCTTTCTTATTAAATTATCCACAGAACACGCATAAGACGTAATATCGGCAGGTATTTGAACTTAGCCCATTCTGGTGTTTCAAGCAGACGAACCGATCTTGTATATTTTCGATGTTGCCCCACTTGGACTGGAGATTGTTCGGAGAATTACCTACCTACATAGGTATACTCGAGGCGGACTACCCGGATTGCCTTTTCAGGGTTGGCGCTGCACGGTTAAAAGTTAAATTTATATTTTCGACTTCGATCTCAACTATAATATTATACACAACATATGGAGTAGTTGGGATATGATTATAGATTGTAATGCCATGGCCTTAATTACAACTTTCCAAAAGAAATGAGTCCAAATACAAGCGTCCTTACATACTGACATTGATATACTCCGTACGGAGTACACGTCTTTTCGATAGTTGGTCTCAATTCTTAATTTAATGCAGACCCGCAGTGATTCTGAATATAGAGATTGCATTTTGTTTTCATTTAAATTAACCAGCTTTAGCTTTAACCCGTGCGGCCCTCTTTCGTATAGCCCCAGGGTGTGGAGTAATAAACTTGTAAGGGAAGTGCCGAGTACTTTTCAGCATTGCACCGAAGGTGCCATCAAAGGTTACTCGAGGGCCTCCGGGGCTGATCTGCAGATCTCCAGGGACATCAGATGTTATAAGTTTAACCTGAAACAAAGGCAGGGTAATCAACAGGGCAATCCATAAAGCCAATCGAAATTATCTAAACTGATAGGCCTGCCTCCCAAATTATTGCGTAATGAATATTGATTTCAGAGTAGTGATAGGAGTATCAGTAAAAATTTGAACTATGAAGAAGGTTGCCGGTGTGGTGTTAATTAAAGGCCCGGTACTTTAGCACAACTGGCTGTGCGGCGAAGGAAGAAATGACACCGACAAAAGATCAACTACAGATATGCTAGACGAGTGTACTATTTCCTGGCAGTAAAGGGCACAGGTTATCATAGCAGAAGTCAATTTGAACCATTTTTGGATCATCAGCGCCTTTTTCTCACCTCAAGACGTGGCGCATAATGCAAACCTTAACCAGAGAGGGAATATCTATAGTGCGGCCGCTACGCGGGTGGCGCCGCGCCCGCGCGACGGCGGCGTTGAAACTCTTGAGACCCGTGGTGCGGTTCCCGGAAATGTTGCTACTGCTGTTGATGTTAAGGTAATGAAAGTTAGTGGACATCGCACTGCAAGGCAGCGACTCTTTATAGCAGGCTCGGGGAGTGGCGGCATTTTGAGGGAAGGTTGCCGCGTAATTTATATATGGTTGATGTTGATAGGAGTGTGTCTGCGGTTTAAGCATGCGGGTTCTCTTGTGCTTGTCTTTCTCATTTCTGTACGTTCAGTGGAGTTGGCAGAACAAAAGCTCACTGGATCTCCCTTCACTGACGAGGTATATGTGTACTGTATGCGCTTCACAAAGGAAAGATAAAGGTTGTGTTTTAATAGGGGAGACCCTCATTGCATCTTGCGGTCAATCTGATCTCTCTCGTAGCCTTATCAAAGTGATAAATTGGAACCGTTGGTAAATACCAGATAGCTCATGAATGAAAACAAGCACTGTTCGCCGCATAAGCGGCCTTTTGTGACATCTTTTTTTGGTAGTCTTTGGTAGTCTTTCCATATGTCTTTTTTGTAATAGATATTCCTTACCCCCACTTATTGGTGCTGTAGCTAGAATATAGGCGGAAAAGGCTCAAATTATGAAAGCGACTTTTCCATGTATAACCACGGAGTTACCACATTTGTCCTGTCTACAAGATTTTATTAAATGTGAGGTAAAACGTGAATGGAGGGTCAATCTGACAACTAGATGGGCAAGGCGTCTAGTAAAATCAGAAAAAAAGACGAGAGGATTATCAATGTACTTATCTTACAGCAATACTTGACCAATTTATCTTCTCCATCTAAAGCCTTTATAGAATATTGAAGGGATCATCGTGATTCTATGGACGTAACGGAACAAACAGAATGTTAAAAGTATGATACTTGCAAACATATAGAGGACCAACTAAGAATCGCGGTTAGATTCTCACAGAAAACGCAAAACACCCGAAGAAGTGAGTTCCTAGTATTCCCCTCAGTTTAGTTACTACTAAGATACGTCTCCACCGAAAGGTTTTTCAAATGCCATATGCAAGATTGCGAGAAACGCTGGATGATTGGTCCACGGTACCATACTAAGCTCTAATATTATCGTGAGTGCACGCTGTATCCGACCTGGAATGTATCATATGCCCGTCTGGAAATCGACAGCTCAGATGCGGTAAAATTTCTCCAATCGTTGGGTTACTTTGGTAACCTTGGTAGGAGCTTCTCTATGCTGGATTTACCGAAGGATCACCCGACTGGCTTCGTGGACTGATTGCAGATGAAGGGTCATTCCAGGCAGTGGTGAAAATCTTGATTGAATAAGACAGACCGATTATGATTTGAATCTTAGACCATGCATAGCTGTGCACATGAATATAATTTAGCCACAGTCTATAAGAATGTTGATATGGATTGCGCTGATGTGACTATTAGTAGGGTTGATGCGAGTTCCTAGAACTATAAACGAGCAACGTCATATCATGCCTGAGGCCATAATATGCACGTGATGTAAAGTAGATTCAAAGTTTCGGTTCACATGGTTTTTATACATACCAAATTTAGTGTGTTTCACCTTAGTGGGGAGGTGTTTGCTACGGGATTTTACGAAAGTTATCGTTGCCAGATGATGTACATACTATTCGCTGATCTAGATCCTTGTATTCACTGTGGCAGTTAAGTTGGGCTACGACGTGGGACAGAACACTGAATGTACTCGATACTTTCTGTAACACACAAATCTGGCGGGGAAGGCTTGTACCCAGTACCCACCATCATTTTTATGCAGCTGACCCCATGATGAGATGAGATGGAAATTTAAATTAGGCATCGATAAGTAAGATTAGAAAAAAAAAGAACATAATAAATATATAATTTCCATCAAAGTCAGATATATTCAGGGATCTTGTAGTTCATTCTTATCTGGAGGTTTTTATCCCCGCGGTGATTACATACGTGTTTCCGCCCCTGCTTCTACAGGGCTCGTGGGCCATCAGGGATCGGTAATCGATCAGCACAGCTTCCTCCGAAGCGGAACCTCTCTTTCTTCTCCCTTCAACTGCTTCCTTGATGGACAGGTGTTGAGTCACCATTCCCGTCTATCTCTCTCTCTGTGTGTGTGTGTGCCCAGAGTCTGCTCATTTTGACTCTCCAACTCCACTCCCCATTTCTTCATCTTCCCCTCTCCAAACCCACAGGGAGGTTCAGATTTCTCTATTTCTTCGTCATTCCCTCGAGATTGAAGGTACGCTCTATCAAAAGGGCTCTGTCTCCTAGTTCAACAGCTCCTATAAACCCCCTGGACTAGACCCTCCAACTCCGTCCGTCGCACCCACTCGGTGAAGGCGGATGGGTACACATCATCGGGACTGCTGGTGATGCAAGTGTGAACCCGATTGCTAATATATTCTCTATCCATACAGCGCTAGATCGCTTCAATTTTCAATCGATTAATTCTCTAACTCCAGTCATTTATCGGCCGTGACAGTCGAGCGTACCCCACTCAACCTGCGCGACCTGGTCTCTGTGTGTGGACACCACGCTTGGCTTGCCGGTGTATCGGGCTGTCGCGCAACCTCCTGGGAACCCGATCTTTCGACCAACCCTTGTACCATAGACTGCTCCGTTACGACATCTCGGAGACGAACGAAACGAATCCATTTTATGAATCATTTCCCTCGGCTATATACTCCATCATGTTTTGGCGCTTTGGGGGATATGCGAATATCTCCACCATCGATACCCTGCTCGACAAACCCGATGTCACCCTCGAGGAGCTCTTAGACGAGCCTGAAATCATTCAAGAACTGAAACAGCTTAATACGAAACTCATTGAATACCTGCGCGAGGATCATGTCTTGAAACGGCTTATGGACTATGTCACTGCACCGAGCTTGGTGAATGATGAAGAAGAGAAAGATGAAGATGATGCAAAAGACGCTTCAGAGAAGGACAAGGATGCTGCCACTTCCGCGGAGCAGACGGACACAGACGAGGAGAAGGAAAGGGATCCGCTGAGGGATATCCTTGACCCGGAGGACCTAGACAAAGTTGAGAAGAATCGTCTAAAGCATGCCTATATCGCTTGTGAGATTCTCTCATCAGAGACCTGGTCCATCCTCGAATCTATGATGGCCAACCCTTCATACTTGCAAGACTTTTGGGGCTTCCTGCGACGATCCCCACCTCTTGATTCATTGCAGGCAAGCTACTTCACGAAAGTAAACGAGACTTTACTCGATAAAAAGACCGAGGAGATGCTGGAGTTCCTCAAAACTCTCGATGGAATTGTCCCGGCATTGTTGCAGCATGTTGATAACCCGATGGTCATGGATCTTCTGCTGAAAATTATCAGCCTCGAGAAGGCGGAGGGTGGCCAGGGTACCGTCGACTGGCTCAAATCCCAGAATTTGATTCCCAACCTTCTGTGTTTCTTGTCGCATGATCGTCCGGCATCCGTTCAAACCTCGGCAGGTGACTTCCTGAAAGCGATCATCACTATATCTGCAAACGCAAGCCCGAACGACCAGTCATGTATCGGTCCTAACAGCTTGACACGTCAGCTTGTCTCGACCCAATGCGTACAGCAGCTCATCGATGCTATGCTCAAGGGCGGCAATCCCTTGACTGTGGGCGTGGGTATTGTCATTGAGGTAATTCGTAAGAACAATTCCGACTATGATCCGGAGTCCCTTGGTGGACCCGATAC